AAAAAGTGACGAATCATAGCGGCCGCCCGCTCCTCTTCCTCTTTCTTTGCATACGCCTCCGCAAGGCGGCCTATCCTATCTCTCTCGAACAGATCACGGACAAATCAACCACCCTCAAACCCACATCAGAGTATAATTTAACCCCGAAATCATCGGCTATCCCTAAGTGTTCATCATAATCTGTTCTTTGCTGGGAAACCAGATAACATTTGTTCTTCAATTGTAGAATTTGTCTGGCACTGTTCGGACCGTGTGGGGATTTCATGGACCTCCAATGATGATCTATACTAAATGTTCTATGTTTCCAATAGTTTTTTTCGGTGGGCCTTGCTTCATGCAGACTACTTCCTTCGTTCTGTGGAATAATTGGAAACAAGGTAAGCACAAGCAGCCCTCTTTTTATGAAGGACATGTATCTGGTTGCCCATAGAGTTAAACCTTGTGACGAAGCTCCACTTTCCTGTATATCCACCACCTTGTAATTTTGAATTTTTGTTTTCCTCTTCTTTGGACATTGAAACCCTCCTTCTAAATGATGTAATTCTTGTACAAACTTTTCCTTTCTTTATTTAAAGGAAACTTATAGTAGGGCTTCCCCTACTATTCATGTTTCAAAACAAAAGGTGTTAATTAGAACATGCGTTCAAGACAGAAAATTTAGGTCACGGATTACATGTGTTTTCCAAGTTCCTCGGGCAAGAGGTGCGCCTTTTGCATAGTTGTGATTCACCTATCGCACCTTTTTGTCCTAGAGCTCGTGCTACATGAAGAAGAAGGTGAGACCATCAATCGTTTGCCCTTCATGATCGTGGGCACGGCCACGACCTCATCACACATAACATCTTTCGGAGCATAGTGCCCAAGAAGGCATCGAGTGCGGCATAGCCAAGCGAGGAGATACCTCGGTCACAAGGGCCATGACCACCAACTTAGGGGTGACGGGTGTGCTCTTGGATTGCTTGCAGTCTGAGTCCACACAGATGGAGTCGTGGCGCCCGTCGGGCACCATCCTGCCTTGACGAAGGATGATTGATAGGTTGTACCCTAACAACTAGTTGATCCTCCAGTGCAACAGTTTGTAGCAAGCAGGAAAAAATTTCCTTGGTGAGAAACCAAAC